TTTTTTTTTTTGAGATGGAGTTTTGTTCTGTTGCTCAGGCTGGCATGCAGTGGTGCAGTCTTGGCTCACTACAACCTCTGCCTCCTAGGTTCAAGCGATTCTCCTGCCTCGGCCTCCCAAGTAGCTGGGACTATAGGTGTGTGCTACCACACCCAGCTCAGTTTTGTATTTTTAGTAGAGATGGGGTTTCACCATATTGGCCAGGCTGGTCTCCAACACCTGACCTCTTGATCCACCCACTTCGGCCTCCCAAAGTGCTGGGGTTACAGGCGTGAGCCACCACACCCGGCCCAAATAGTTTTATTCTTAAGTGTCTGCAGGAAACTTGGCCAGGTCACTTATTCCTGAATGAGACTCTGTTTCCTCACCTTTGAGACTAGAGTGGTAGAATTCATTGCCCACAGGGAGTAGAGGACAGTGGGTTAGAGTCAAGCTAGATTGTTAGGTTGGAATCTCAATCCCTTCACTCATTAGCTGTGTGACCTTGGGCAAATTGCTTGCCCTCTGTGTGCCTCAGTTTGCTCATCCATAAAGGAGAGTAATAAAAGCTACCACTCAAAGCTACTGTGAGGATTAAATGGAGAATGTACATAAAGCACTTTGCATAGTACCTATCTATCGAGCACAGCACTGATAATTCTTGGGCACTTACTATTCTAATACAATTCTAACTGTTTGGCAGGTCTGACATCCCAAGAGCCGGGTTCTGTCATTTCAGCCAGCACTTTGAATCAAAGATCTTCACCAGCTCCTAAATAAACGTTACATGGCTGCTACCACTGCTTCTCTTTTTGGAGATGTCTGTTAAAATTATGATTCAATTGTCAGTAACAAAATATTCTTAAGATGTCTTCAGCCATACCCTCAAATTATATGACAGTGTCTGGCTTTAATACCCATCTAAATAGTTATACTGTTGACAGGTTTCGAGAGTGGTGTTTGCTCTTCCATTCCTCTCATTAACTTATGTAGCAACATCATAACTCTCTGGAAGGATTAAGAAAAAAAAGGATGCTGGCATATTCCATCTGAATTCATTTCATATAGCATCTGTGTCAGAGCGTTTGCATATGAATGAGATGCCTTGACGTTCTCTCATTAACATGGGAGCACTGCAGTGACATGTTTCAGAGCTCAGGTTCAAGAGTTTGAAGCAAGAGAGGGAAGAAGGGTTGAAGGCTCAGTCCATGTAAAATTTCACTGCAGTAAACCTGGTTTATAATCTTAATCCCAATCAGGCTGTAGTATGGATGGGCAGTTCCATCTCTTGTCTCTAGGATTATAAACCCAACTTTCCACTCAGTCTCCTCCCATATCCCCAACATTCTAGCCTCACTGATGTGTTTTTCATTAACACATTCCAGTTTGTGTATGTGTAAGGTTCTCCCTGTCTTCGATAGTGCAGTCTTCCCTCCATGTTTGGCAAGACTTAACAATTCCAGTAAACATCAATGTCTTTATGAATCTTTCCTCAATTCTTCTGGGTCAATTTAACCACTTTCTCCCTGGGCCCTAATGCCGGATCTTCATGACTGGAATGGCCTGTGCACCACGTTGCTGTTTCTTTTTTTTTTTTTTTTTCTTGAGATGGAGTCTCACTCTGTTGCCAGGCTGGAGTGCAGTGGTGTGATCTCAGCTCATTGCAACCTCCACCTCCTGGGTTCAAGCAGTTGTCCTGCCTCAGCCTCCCGAGTAGCTGGGATTACAGGAGTGCGCCACCACACTCAGCTAATTTTTGTATTTTTAGTAGAGATGGGGTTTCACCATGTTGGCCAGGATGGTCTCAATCTCTTGACCTTGTGATCTTCCCATCTCGGCCTCCCAAAATGTTGGGATTACAGGCAAGAACCACTGTGCCTGGCCACGTGTTTCTTTTATGCATAGAGTGGAGCTTCGTTGTTCCAGCCCTGGTGTTCAGAAGAGTGGTAGATGCTTAATGAATATTTATGAAACACATCAGTGCAGAGCTTCTCACTCAAAGGGACTAAATGTATTTAAACTGCTCCTGAATGTGGGTAATAGGCTGCCTCACACTTCAACCAAAAATTTCAGTGCCAGTTGACAAGGTTCAGGCTCAGCCCTGGAGTTCCATCTGAGCCTCATCTCCCTCAAATCACAAGCTTTGGAAATGGAATAAGGACTTTTTCACAGCCAGTGGGCAGCCCATGGCTTGTTAGGTGATCTCATTATGGAACATACAGACTCGGAGGAAATTAGCATCAGCGCTGGGCTCCTGTTCAAGTCTCCTGAACTGGGAAGACACGGGTCTCAGCCGCTAAAGCCTGGTGGATGACAGGACGAGATAAAGGCACACCAGGCAGGGGCAATGGTCAGTGCTACCTCAGGAACCACGGAACCTATAATGACTCCAGAGCTTGACTGCCTGTGTGACCTCAGTCAGCAGTGTAACCTTGCACACATTCCCTAAACTTTCTGGAACTCAGTTTTCTCATCTACACAATGGGCATAATAAGAGTACCCCATGGCATAGGGCTATTGTGTGCTCAGTCATAGAGTCACCCTTGCATGTGTCACACTCTTACATATGACATAGAAAACTGGACTCCATAGTCAACCATTGCTAGTTTTTTATAGAAAGAATTCACCTCAAATTACAAATGATGAGAACACATGGACACATAGAAGGGAACAACATACACTGGGGCCGACTGGAAGGTGGAGGGTGGAAGGAGGGAGAGGATCAGGTAAAGTTATTAGACTTAATATCTGGGTGATGAAATAATCAGGTACTAGACTTAACATCTGAGTGATAAAATAATTTGTACAACAAACCCCCAAGACACAGGCTTACCTATGTAACAAACCTGAGCAAATAAACCTGAACTTAAAGTAAGTTAAGAAAAAGACAAGCATTTGTGAGTATGTGGAAAAAAAAATATATTTGATGCTCACCAAAATCTTGTAAAGTTATTGTCATCTTTTTTAGAACAAGTGAAAAATCCCTGCATTTCAAAATAGGAATGTCGAGTCAGAAAGCTCATTGAGATCTCACAGTCTGTGCCCTGAGTGATTAAACATCACAGTCAAGGGGATGTAGAGCACATATCTTTGGACACATCTTGGGTGCCTGGCATGTCTTGCACACACAGACAACCCAACACACCTCCACCGAATCTCAACTCCTGTCGAAGTGGCCTGCTGGTGATCACCTATGGGCATGATTAATGGGCGTGGAAGACCAGTGAGTTGCGGGTGACTCTCTGAGAAAGATGGTGTTAAAAGGAGGATATGGGATAAGCTTGTGGGGAACAGGGAAGAGGGCAGTTCAGTGAAGCAGAATTTTGGTAGTGCTCAGTTATGTTAGTTTCCTGTGGCTGCTGTAACAAATTCCTCCAAACGTGGTGATTGAAAACAACACATGTTTTCTCACACTTCTGGAAGTCAGAAGTCCAAAATCGGTTTCACTGGGTCAAAATCAAGGTCCAAGACTGCACACCCTCTGAATGCTCCAAGGGAGAACGTAATCTTCTGCCTTTTCTAGCTTCTAGAGCTGCGTTTCTTGCCATCTTGGGCTCCCAGCCCCTCCCATCTTCAAGGCTAGCCCTTCAGCATCTTGCTGCAGTCATCTCATTGCTGACCTGTCTCCACAGTCCAGTCTCTTTTTGCCTTTCTCTTATAAGAACACTTACGATTACATTAAGGGCCCCCCTCAATAATTCAAAATAATCTGTTTCTTAAGATCCTTCACCACTGCACGACATCCTGTGCCATGTAAGGCATTTACAGCTTCTCGGGATAAGAACGTGGATGTCTTTGGGATTGTTGCTCGGTCTTCCACGCTAGTGCAGCACCTACACCTGGGGGCTCAGGAGCTCTGATCCACAAGTGTATTGGGCCTCTTTGTTGACCTTCATCTACTGCAGATCCTCAGCTTGGCCCATGCTCTGATCTGAGACTCCTCAGGAGGCCTTTTCCCTAGTGCGTATGAAACAGGTACAGAACAGACAGACCGTGAACAGGAAAGCACTGGCTTATGTAACAATTGAATTTCTGGAAGAGGAATGAATAGATTGGTACTTTGCTTGTCTGTCTCCTAGAGTCTGAAATGTGGGAATCTGGTCCACAGAGATAAGGCTTCCCTTTCCAGGTGCAGGCAATGCTGTCTTGTCCCAACCCCCAAAGTTAAGTATCCAAAACAGTACTTTGTTGGATTCACCAAGGAAGAGCCACCTTGGTTGGTTGTAGACAGCTTGACTTGGCTGCATACATTCTCAAAAATACCATTTATTTTATTGGCACTTGAGAAAGTGATTTGAGAACTATTCGAACTATTTGCATGAATGGGCATGTTCCACGACCCTGTGTACTATTTTTTTTTTTTTGGTCCAGTTTTTGCTCATAAGGTCTAGTGCATCTATTACACTTTCCAGTTTCTGTCTTGACATGGACACCTCTTGTTCGATTCCCTGAGCTGCTGGGGACCACAGTCTGCCTTTTGTACCATGTGCTTGATTATGTAGTGACTGTGAGCCCAGCTGGCAGCCTGTGGGAACTGTCTTGCCCCTCACTGTTGCTTCAGCTGTGTGACATCGAAAGTATCTGGTCATTGATTTGATTATTTTGAGACTACACAGAAAATCTTAACTTGCTTACGGAGAACTTCAGAAAATTAGCCCATGGACAGAAAGTGCTTGTAGCTAAACTCAAGCTGATGTTCTTCCCTTTCAACACTTTCCTTAGCAGAGTCCTGGGGGAGTCAGTCCTGATGCATCGACTTTCAAGGTTAACAAGATAAAGAAAAAAAATCACCATAATGTTTTTTGCTCTTATTTTTTTCTGTTTCAAATAGAAAATGTGCTATGGTTCAAAAGCGTTTCTGAAATTTCATGTGTTGAAAACTTAATCCCCAATGCAGCAGTGTTAAAAGGTAGCACATTTTAGAGGTGACCAGAGCCCTCGTGAATGGATTAGTACCGTAAGGTCAGGAGTGGGTTCCTGAAAAAAGAGTGAGTTCAGCCCCCTTTCTTCCCAAACTATAGGTTAGCAAGAGTGTGCCTGCGTGCTTCCTTGCCCTTCCACCTTCTGCCAAGGGATACTGTAACAAGAAGACCCTCACTGAATGCTGAGTAGATGTTGGTGCATGCCTTTGGACTTTTCAGCCTCCAGAACTGTGAGCCAACTATCTTTCCTTTACCCATTACCCAATCTTAGGCTAATAAGATTTGTAATAGCAACACAAAATGGACTAAGACAAAATGTTTGGGGATTTGTTCTGACAACTTGAGCTAACATCCTCTTCCTGAAGGTTGTCTTTAAAGAACTCTGGAATTCCTAAGCTTCAGCTCATATCTGCAAATGTAATGAAACCCACTCTCCAGCTAAGGTCATTTTCCATGAAACAGGCATTGCCCTGGCAGTGTGGGCTGTAATGTAAATGTAAATATCAGAAACCTGGGCACAGCCAACTGAAACAGGAATGCCATGTGTTCTTGTTGCCAGGGGTGAGGGTGGGTAATGATGTGCATATGTGAAATCTCGGTGCCCATGTCTCTGCTCAATGAGGTATCTATCAGCTGTTGGGACTTCAGGTGAGAAGGCATTTATTTTGCTCACTGATGTTGAAATCATCCTACCTACTGCCACGGGTTGCAGGCAGAAACTGAGCCCACAAAAAGGCAGAGGCTGTAGTTTAAGTTGGTTTTTAAAATTATCGCTGTCCATAGAGCCTGATATGAGGTCATATTTGGGTTTATTGTTTAATCTTTCTAACAATCCTGTGATGGGAAGTTCATTTAGCTCACAGTTTTCAAGGAAGGAGACAGAGGCTAACAGTTTAAGCCTCTTGTCCATGGTCACCCAGTTAGTAAGTGGGCTTGCAGGATCCAGGGCATCTCTGCCTTAGAGATCTCCTCTCTCACCCACTCTGCGATGGCACAGGTTACTCTGCTTTTCACAGTATTATGCAGTGCATCTCTGTGGTTTGTATTAAGAGTTTTAGAGTGGGACATGCATGTTTCCACCTTGACCAAACCATGCCGGGATGCATGTGAAAGGACCAAAATCTGACTTGGGCAATGACTACTTACTCTGCTCATTGCTCATGGGATCTCCAGATCCTTGGGAGAGGCAGCTGGAAGCTGAGATTGGAGACTATGTAGACTCTGAATGGTTTATTGTGTATGAATCTGGAATAGAGGTTGTCAAAGAATTGCCCCTGAACCAGCAGCATCTGGTTTGTTTGAAATGCAAATTCTGGACTGGGCGCGGTGGCTCACGCCTGTAATCCCAGCACTTTGGGAGGCAGAGGCGGGTGGATCGCGAGGTCGAGATTGAGACCATCCTGGTCAACATGGTGAAACCCCATCTCTACTAAAAATACAAAAAATTAGCTGGGCATGGTGGCGTGTGCCTGTAATCCCAGCTACTCGGGAGGCTGAGGCAGGAGAATTGCCTGAACCTAGGAGGCAGAGGTTGCGGTGAACCGAGAATGCGCTGTTGCACTCCAGCCTGGGTAACAAGAGCGAAACTCCGTCTCAAAAAAAAGAAAAAGAAAAAAAGAAATGCAAATTCTGGAGTTCTACCTAGACCTACTAAATCAAAAACTCAGAACCTGGGGCTTAGCAATCTATATTTTAACAAACCCTCGCGGTGATGCTGATTCATGCTAAACAGGTCTTCCAGAGTTTGTGCTCTGCCTTTATTAGCAAACCCTTTTGTCATTCTCAGCACAGGCTGAGACTAAACAGCTACTTTCAAGTGCTGGACAGGGGAGGAACGAGGCCCAGTGGAGCCTGCCTGATTCTCAGAGGGCAGGGGGCCTTCAGAGGGAGGATTTTCATCCTGGGTGAGATCTACTTATGCCTGTGAGTGCTTTCTCCTCCCTTAAGCCCTCCCTCCCTGCTGGAAGCCTTCTGACTTAGGAATGCTTGTCCAGACCTCAGATGCATGTGATTCTGATCATTAGCACCTTGTAGTTGGGATCCTAGCCTTGTAAATCTCTTTGTTCTCTCAAAGTTCAGGGGAAGGGAGGGGCAGGAAGCCTGAAGGAGTTCTTTCAGCCTGTTCATCTGCTTCGAGTAGAACAAAGCTACAGAGTGGGGAAGGTGCTTTGATCCCAGACAATGAGAGCGGCTGGATTAAGTGTTTGGAGGGACCAGACAGCTCTGGCACAAAACAGATCTGTTACTTTTCTTTTTTCTTTTTTCTTTTTTGAGACCTAATTCATGTACTGGAAACAAAAAAGGCATAATGTTTTGAAAGGTGGTGTTTCCATAGCTGTAAGTCTCAGGCATAAACTGAAACGTGTGTACTGGGTGCCCTGCCCAGGCTTGGAGGTTCTACCCTTGGGACGAACACTGATGCATTGGAATGCCACAGCATTTCCAGGTGACCCCAAGGCCACTGAGTGGCAGCTGGGACTGGGAAATACTGGAGCTGGGAGAGACTTGGGAAATTTGCTTATGTGCTTAAAACCCATTTATGCCTAGTGTTCCATTATTGGAATGCTAAGCATGAGGGAGTTATTTATATCTTACTGCTCAAGGTCATAACCAAGGTCTCATTGAAAAAATTAAAAAAGTTGCAGCCTCAGGCATAAATGGGTTAACACAGTTGCTAAGCATAGAGAACTCTGAGTTTAAAAATAAACATCACAAAATAAACATTTCTGTATATGGTGCCTACGAGGTACATTACATACCACCCTCCACTAAACCCACGGGGGCCTCTGCTTTCTCTTATGATTCATGGCCATTTCAAGAATACTCATGATTTCAGTGTTACTGCTATCCCCATATTTCAGAGGAGAAATACAAAAGCACAAAGAGGTTGGTAAGTTCCCCAAGTTCACACAGCTAAAGAAGTGGCAAGGTCAGGATGCCAACCCAGGCAGTCTGGTTCCAGGTCAGCGCCCTTCACTCTAGGATAAGGTCCCTGTCCATAATGAGTTCCAGTCCTTCTGAGGAACTGATGGTGCAGGGAAAACCCAGCACATCTTGAGTGCTCAGGACATGGTGCCTGTCCTTACCATTTCTGTTGTTACGTACACAGATAAATTTAGCACATTGTGACAAGGGCTGACGAGATGGGTAGAGTGTTATGAGGAAGCAGAAGAGGGAACCCGGAGCTCAGAACTGCCAGTGGGCCAGGATGCAGGCAGCCGTCATTCACAGAAGAGGTGATATTTGAGTTGAGTCTCTAGAACCGCAGAGAAAGGTAGAGAAAGGTGTGTCAAGCAGGGGAATCATAATATACAAAGACTTCCGAATCAGACCAGAGTGACAAAAATTAGAGGGCTATAAGGATGCTTTTGCTTTCCAGAGTTTTAACTTATGCCTCTCCATACCTGTCACCTTTATCAAAACCCCAAGCTTTCTCCTGTATCAAAATGATGACGTTAGAAGTAGAAATTAACTATGGTGGAAAGGACCTCAGTATGTGCATCAGATTCAAGTTATGTACAGAAAACAGAAGCAGCTGTTTAACTCCAGGCAGCCTGAATGTCTAAGCATTCCCTTTGTTTGCACACAGCCCTGGTCTTCTATCTTCTTATGCTAATAACCCCTTGAAGCATGCTTGGAGAACGCTCCATCCCATCCTTGACACCCAGTTCTCACCTACAATCAATACTTGGTTCAGATGCCTCCTTCAGGAAGTATTCCATGCTCCTCCTAGCTGGGAATAATTCTTTCCTCCTTTTCATTGGTTCATAGCAGTGATGACGTCCTATCTTTCATTGTGCACATTTTACCTCCCTTGTTGGATGGTAAGCTTCTTGTAGGTGAGATTCCTGTTCAATATGGAGTTCCCAGCACTCACAGAGGACCCATGGTGATATGCAATAACTTTGAAAATGTACTAATGAACATATTAGGAACCATTTGTCTGGGCCCCTATTCTGGCTTTTTTGTTAATTGGGCAATTGTCTTCAGGAGAATGAAACCCTGGGAAGAAATCTCTCACAGTGCTCACAGAGGCTTTGGCTCACAGTCAGGAGAGCACCTGAGTTCTAGGGCATCAGCAATCATCCACGTCAGGTTTCTCTCCCTCTGGCATGATGGATAGAGGAAAGATTTCTGAAACTTCTCTCAATTTGACAATTCAGTATGGTTTCATGTAGTACCAATTGGGTTTAGGACATGCCACCCCAAACTTAGCATAGAAATACAATGTTTGCATTGTATTAGCATAGAAATGTTTCTTTGGGTCTTCATTTCCAAAGGTTCTCGTGTCACATAAAACTTGCGTTAAATAAATTTGTATGCTTTTCTCTTGTTAATCTGTCTTTTGTAATAGGGGTTTTAGCCATGAACCCGAGATGGAAGGAAAAGCTATTTATTCTCCCCCATAGTGTACGCCTCAGTATCTGATAGGGCAAAACTTAGAATATGGTCCTAAGACAACTAAAAAGGGCCTTGATTCAGCTGTACTCTTGAATTCCAAAGGCATGATATGCCTGTGATTTTTTTTCCTTGGTGCCAAATCAGCTCTGCTTATCGACTGCTATTTTAATGAAACCTCCTGGTACCAGCTCAGGAAGGATATTTTTATTAGATACGACTGGGCGGATTCTCATGTTGAAAGCATTTGGTGTAAAACATGAACGCATTCAGTCCTCAGATATCCTTCCAAATATTTCCTTTGAAATTGGAAAATTACCAAGGAACTTGTGATAAGAAGATGAAAAAAGGAATTAAAAAGCAAGGATGACATGCTTCTCTTCTCCCCACGATCCTGCATGGGTGGGGCTTTTGGGATTTGGAAATCAACAACATTAGAAGGTTACTTGGGGAGAGACCTGGAGTTGGGCAACCCTGGCCCTAGCTGTGCTCGGAGGGGTGGGTCAGATGGTCAGTGTTCTTGTCTTCTGCTTCTTTGTCTTCTCTAACTTCCTCTTGGGGCCTGGAGTCACACAGAGAAGATAAGAACAGGTCTGATTCACATAAAGTCAACCCTATTAATTCATCAAGCCCCTGGCATTATGGCTTGGATTCTGGATTCTGGATTATGGTGTCTAAATCTCAGTATCAAGGGGAATGTTGCCACCAATATTTATAGAAATCAACCCTTCCTCTTTCATTTAAAAATCTTGTCTGAGATCATCTACTTCCCCCAACTCAGAATGCAGTAGAGGCAGAAGCTTAAAACTTGGGTTCTGGATCACCAGCCTGA